AGGGCCGTCTAATCCAGGAGAGAGCTGGATACTGGGGTACGTTTCTAATTTCTATCACAACTGTCAAAAACCCAAATAATAGAGAGAGAGGTTCTCTAAAAGAAAATGATATTTATTTGGGAGTAAGCACTGCAATGGGAATACAGTGGTTGAATTCAGGGAGGCAAAGGAAGACAAAGGTTTTTCAAGAAGAAAAATGAGGATTACATAACTGTTCGAGATAATCACCCTTTACTACAAGAATCAGTAACAAGGTGGTGTCAGTCTGAAGGCCAAGGTTGGACAGGCAGTTAGTTACTGGGCAGATGTCCTCACAGAAGGTTTTTTTTTTTTTTTTTTAATTTATTTTTTAATAATAAGGTTGCAGTAGCCGTTGTGCAAGGTTGTGGTAGTTTTTGTTATCAGGCATATGTATGTAAGAACGTTCGCTTCGTGGCCTTCCTGGCTCTACTTGTTGGGGTTTTAACACAAGTGACTCTATTTTGATTCTGACAACTTTTAACCCAACTAATGACTAAATGGCTCTTCATTACCCTGCCTTTTCTTGATAGCAGAGACCCAATTTTTTTCAGGTGTCTATCCTGTACCCCCATAGGACTCAGGGATAAATTGTAACTTACCAGAGCCATTTATAGCCATTCTATTTACTTTCCCAGTGGTTGGATCAGGAAGAGGCCAATGAAACCCTAGCCAACGAAATGGGACAGGAAGTGTTCTGGGTGCCTCCTGACTTTAAAAGGGACACAGAGTGGGGAAAAGCCCCTTTTTTGTGGGTGGGTATTATTGTGTACGGATGTGCTATCTGGAGCTGAGCCAGCCATCTTTCAGCATGTCAACAGGGAAAAGGAGAAAAATAAAAATAAAATCCAGGCTGCCAAGTTTTTGTGGAGAGCCCTTTATGGGAAGAAAAATCATGAAAACTTAGACTTACTCAGCTCCATATTATCCTGCCTCTTGCGTTTTTTTTTTTTTTTTTTTTTTTCTTGTCAGATCAATTTCAGTCACACACCTCTTCCCTCTCCTTCACACCGGCTCAGTTCTGGTTTGAAGCATGAAAACAGCAGCTAAGTGGTGTGATCTAACTGGCACAGAGAATGATTCTAAAATTGACCAGTCAGGAAATGAGGCATGTATCAATGATTTTCTTTTGACTCACTGTTTTTAAAAACATCCAAATGCAATTCATCTTTGTCTCTACAATACAATAAAATAAAAATTCCTACAAAGGGAAAAAGGGATGCTAGCTCTTTCACTCCACATTAGGAAGGATGCTAAGATTTTCTGGGTACTTGGTATATGCCTGACATTTAAATTTTCATACATTATCTCATCACATGACCTGATTGCCCTTTGAATAAAATTCTAATAAAATTCCAGGGAGTGTGGTCTGTCTTCTGTCTCTCACTGTTCCCCTCCATCTCTACTCTAGTCTGATCCTCCTGGCCTTTTTTCCCTCCCTATTTATGAAACATACTATTTATGAAACATTCTCCCTATTTATGAAACATACTCAACATGTTGCTGCCTAAGTGCTCTTGAACTTGCCATTCTCTTTGCCTGGAATGCTCTTTCTTTGGATCTTCCCATGTCTGATTTCTTCTCATGGACCAGACCATCCTACCTACCTACAACCTCTCCCTCTACCCCTAATCCCCTATTCCAGTGCCCTGTTTCATTTTTTCCCATTGCATTTGCAGTATCTGAGATTACCTCATTTTATTTGATTTTGATCCCTCCTCTCCTTGATTTTTCTTCTCTGTCTTGTTCACTGCTATATTTCGAGCATTTAGAAGTGGCTGGCACTCTTGAGGAAATGCTCAATAGTGTTTGTTGAAAGAATTGACAGATAACATACTTTATACAGTGGTCCCCAACCTTTTTGGCACCAGGGATCAGTTTCATGGAATATAATTTTTCCACGGAATGGGGTCGGGGGGGAGGATGGCCAGCGATGGGAAGTGGCTGTGAATACAAGTGAGGCTTCCCTACATTGCCCACTGCTCACCTCCTGCTGTGTGCCCAGTTCCTAATAGGCCACAGACTGATACTGGTCCACTGCCCAGGGGTTGGGGACCACAGCGCTATAACCTTATAAGGCAGAGTACCTAAAGTAATATTTTCAAGGGCCAAAGCCCTCTAGACAAAGACCACCAAGAATGCACCCATAGTTGAACACATTGGCTTTATCATTTCTCAGTGTGGGAAGGAGAATGCACACCCCAAGGAACCATGAGCTATCTCAGTAAGTGGATGTTAGGAAAGAACTTATAGGATATAGGTTTGTATTAGGTAATTTTGGTTGGGATTTAAAGAAGCAGTACATCTTTCTAGATTGGATATTATCAAGTGGCAGGGACAGTTCTATGGATGTTCTTAACAAATCTTATCTCTTAGGTGAGGAAGACTAGAGGAGGGCTAAAACTAGAACTGGCAAAACAACAATAGTCGGCCAGGCGTGGTGGCTCATACCTATAATCCTAGCACTTGGGAGGCCAAGGTGGGCGGATTGTTTGAGCTCAGGAGTTTGAGACCAGCCTGAACAAGAGTGAGACCCTGTCTCTATTAAAAATAGAAAGAAATTAGCTGGGCAACTAAAATATATATAGAAAAAATTAGCTGGGCATGGTGGCACATGCCTGTAGTCCCAGCTACTTAGGAGGCTGAGGCAGGAGGATGTTTGAGCCCAGGAGTTTGAGGTTGCTGGGAGCTAGGCTGATGCCATGGCACTCTAACCTGGGCAACAGAGTGAGACTGTGTCTCAAAACAACAACAACAGCAGCAACAAAAACACATAAACAACAACAACAACAACAAAAACCCCAAGTCATTCATACTAGGCAGGATAGAAGGATGCTTGGTGTTTTGGGGGTTTGCACAATGACCTTTTTTTTTTTTGTCAGTACTTAGACAAGATTACTTAGCACCCTTGTTTTTTGTCTCACTGCATCAGTTATAGCTGCAGTCCCCAAGCCCTGGGCTGTGGACCAGTACCGGTCTGTGGCCTGTTAGGAACTGGGCCGAACAGCAGGAGGTGAGCAGCGGGCAAGGGAATGAAACTTCATCTGTATTTACCATGGCTCGCATCACTGCATAAGCTCAGCCTCCTGTCAGGTCAGCGGTGTCATTAGATTCTCATAGGAGTGTGAACCCTACCGTAAACTGCGCATGTGAGGGGTCTAGGTTGTGTGCTCCTTGTGAGAATCCAATGCCTGATGATCTGAGGTGGAGCTGAGGTGGTGATGTGAGCACTGGGGCGTGGCAGCAAATACAGATTATCATTAGCAGAGAGGTTTGACTGCAACAAATGTGATGTGCTTGAATCATCCTGAATCCACCTAACCCCCCCATGGAAAAATTGTCTTTCATGAAACTAGTTCCTAGTGCCAAAAAGGTTGGGGACGGCTGAGTGATAGAGTGACTGTGTATGATACTGGTGTTCTGTGTAACTGTGTTTAACACAGTTGTTGACTCGCTGTGTCAGGCCAGTTTCTGGATGTCATGGTCCATTTTTCTGTCTCTTACAAGTGTCCTAGAACTGGAGTCTGGGGTCAGCACAGAATTAAGCAAGAATATTTCCTTTGGCTGTTTAATAGTCTCTCCTCCCCACAGTTCTGGATTTGTACTGGAATGGCCACTGGACCAAGACAGTGCAGGCCAAGGCAGAGAAGCAGTACTTCTGGAAGGAAGTAAAAAATGCCCTTATTTGTCCAAGAACTACCATCTCAGCATGCGGCTGGGATACCTAATTTTCAAATGGAGAATGGTGTACCTTTTGCATTCAGAATGATAGGACTCAGCGTTGCCTCAAAGGTCATGTTCAAAAATCTTCCAGGACCTTGATTCTGCTTCAAATTTTTCTTTAAACACAACTGTATGGTTTTAGGAAAAATCTTTTAACCAGTATCCCAGCATCCTCTGAGCCCCTACAGCACCTGCGTTCCTCTGTTAGCATCCCTGCTATATTGCAATTATTTATAGTCTGCCTGGTTAGACTGTCTCCCACATGTTTGTATCCCTGGGAGTTAACAAAGGACTTGGCACACGCTAGACCTCCTATAAATATTAAGTGAATTTATTATAAAATAGAGCGTTAATTCCTGGCTCGAATTCAACTCACAAAAACATTTATTGAGTCTGTATTAAGAGCCAGGGGGACGCTATGAAAAATCAGATGGTCTTTACCTTCAAGGAATTTTTTGTTCACTTTGGATAGAGTTAAGGGTGATAATGAGAGTGGCTGGCATTAATTCAGGATCAGACACGCTGCGAGGTGCTTTACACGCACCTGAGCTACTGCCACTTTTCCGGTGAAGCAGTGGATACACCGCTGGGTTGAGGAACTCTCCTGGGGTCCCAGTTACCAAAGGGCAGAGCGGAGACTGTAACGCAGACGGTCCGACCGGGTGACACTCGCCGCGCTCGGTGGGGAGGGACGGCGCCCTGCGCACCGCGGTCCTGCCGTTTGTCGGAGCGGAGGTGCGGATCCAGGGTCCAGACATCGCAGCATTTATTTTAAAGCGGAGCAGGTTAAAGTGACCGGCCGGGGCCGAACTTGTGTTTCTAGCAGGCGACGCGGGCGAGGGGACCGGGCCGCGCCAGCTTTCCGCTACCGCGGGCGGGTTCGGTTTTGGCCGCAGACCTGAACATCCTTCAGTCCATACCGTTTCTCGGCGTCCGCTGTGCGCAAAACAGGTGCTCCCCGCCGCTTCCTCCCCGGCCCACACCCGGGGCAGAGCCGGAGGGTGTGGCGGGGTCGGGGCTCCCCACCTCCGCCCCTCGCCGCGCCCCTCGCCGCGCCCGCGCCCCCAACCACCTTAAACTCCCGCCCCCTCGCAGCGCCGGCCAATGCCCGGCCGCGGAGCGCGCCGCGGCCTGAGGATTGGTCGGCGCCGCGGTTGCCGGGGTGACGGGTGGGTCCCGCGGGTTCCCCGAGCGGGGCGCCGGCGAGGGGTGCCGGTGGTTTCCGCCCCGCCGCCCGCAGCCCGCCGCGCCCGGCCCCGCGGTCCGCCGGGGCGCGCGCCCCGGCTGGTCTCCGCCCCAGGACCGCGGCGCGAGCTCCGAGGCGGCGTCCGCCGGCGGCGCGATGGGCTGCGGGAACTCCACCGCCACCAGCGCGGGCGCGGGCCCAGGTGAGCGCCGCGGGCGGCCGGGGCCAGGGGCGGGGGCGCCCCGCCGGAGGGGCCGGGGGAGGCGGCGGGAAGGACGGGTGCGGGCACCTGGGGACGGGCGCGCGCAGCCCCCTCGCCCCGTCCCCTTTTCGGGACAAGAGCTGACAGCCCGTTTCTGCGAAGACCCAGAGCGTGGCAAGTCCCCCGCGCGGGGGCGGTCACGCCCGGACCCGGCGAGCCTGCGGGGCGTCCCTGCGGAGGGAGCGCGGGGAGGACTGTCCGCGGGGCTCCCGCGGCGTTAGGGGTCCGCACCCTCCTGGGGCAGAGGGTCCCCAGATGTGGCCCTCCTGCACTCGCTCCTCCAGGCCTCGCCCCCGGCTCCTCGGAAGCTAGACGCTGCACCTTGAAAAGTGCAGCAGAATAAGTCTGGACTTTCTGGTGGTGGGGGTGGGGCGGGGAGGGAAAGAGGGTGCGAGTGGGATTGAGGAGAACTGCAAGCAGGGCTCCAAAAAGGCATCCTTGTCGGTCTTGATGCTTCAGACCTGCTGTGCTGCTCTTGGGATTTCTCCGAGAAGCTGCAGTAATAAGGGTGCTTTAGGTGTGTGTGGCAGAGCTTTATTATTAACAGTTCGGTTAAGTTATTTTTCATTTTAAAGACATACCGAAACTTCTTTACATATCACTTCATTTTGTTGATTGGCAATCGAGGTCCTCTAGATGGCCAGTCTTTGTGCGCAGTGACATCCTTCAAACTCAGCTCTTCCGTTTAACCCAGCCTGTGTCTCCGGATTTAAGATAGCCTGGATCTGTTTTGAGTAGTATCTGCTGACCTATGTTGGTGTCCTTTTGGATAAAGAGCTCCTGTCTCCTGCGATGGAGATCAATCACACGCCACATCCTATCCCAACCTGCAAGTGCAAACAGCGGTCTGATGCTGCCATGTTTCCTGGGCGGGAGCGGATGCCCTGTCGGTGACTTTGTAACCTCGGGCCTGTCACGTCCCTTAACCCAGACCCGGGCAGAAGATGTAGTTTAAGACTCAGGACTTCTTTATTTATGTTAAAGTTTATGTTGATGTTCACATAATGGAATCCAATGTGGACATCTGCTCAGTTAATTGACTAAGTTTGTTTTTCCTCCGTGGCTGTCAATGTTACCGCACATAGGGGATGTTCCATCTCAAGAGAAGGGGCTAAAATATGTGGGATTCTAGACCTAACGATATGTGACTGAACCCAGGTAGCCATTCATTGAAGACTTTATCTCTTACAGGTAACCTTTACCATCTTGAATTAAATTCTGTCCTTGTGATACTCAGAGCACCGCTGGGGAACAAATCTTTTAGATTTTTGTAACAGTGAGGTGGGTTAGTTAGCTTAGTGCCTCGTGCTAATGAGGGCAACGATAGGATTCAAACCTGCAAGTGGCCAAAAAGCTCTGCAAGGAAACCTGGAACAGTGTCAGGGCCACACCCTGCACCTCGAATTGTGTCGCCCAATCTCCCAGGAACTGTGGCCCCATCCAACCCACTGCATATCGCTCTACTTTTAAAAAGGTTAAGAAAAATTATCCACATTATAAAAAAATCACAGGAAGGATTTGTAACAGATTTTCCTTTCAAGTGGAGCTACATTTCATTTATTAATGAGCTGCTTGTCGGGTTTGGGAATGGTGGGGTACTGTTGCTAAATACAAATCAGAATGATGATAAGATATGGTAAGGTAGCTCTGAAATGTTAATGTGGGAATAATATTTCTTGGGAAAATAAGATTCTCTTTACAAATATTTGATTGACTTTTTTTCAGGAGCACATCCCCTATTACGTAAAAGGTATAGTTTTATTGAAAAAAACTACTTCAAGTGCACGTTGTCTTGAAGAAAAGCCTGACTTCTGTTTATGAAGGACAGTGCATGTAGGAGCATGTTGTTCTCTCCTCCAGCTTGCTGTTTGTTCAGAGAAAAGCAAGATAGTGAGTGCAGACTGAAAACATGCAGGAGAAAAACATTAGGAGTAGGGAGCTATTGCGTCACCTCTTTGGTGGATCTGCCCTTGTCTTTGAGAAGTCATTCCCAAACATTTCCCTGCTTGTGAGTCCAGCTGGCTGGCTTTGGGATTTGCTCATTGTTATTTTGAAATTTTCTGTCAGCTGGTGGTAGGAATTTAATTTCAGGAAGGAAATGCATCAAGATAAGAGATGTAAGCTTAAGAAAAATAAAGCACAATGCAAAGATGCTTAAGTCTCTTTCAACTGTGAGCTTTGCCATCAACATCAAATATACCATTGGCAAGCTGCAAACTTGGGGGGCTGAATCCAAGCAATATGAAATTCATTAAATAGATGTTGTGCCTGTCCTCCGACTACTTCCAGTGTGCAACTTCTGAAATGTAACAGGAGTCATACAATTCAATTGCCATATTTAAACTCCACCCTCCACCCCCAAATATATTCAAAGAGAGTTTGTGGAAAGGATGCTGAACTTGGAGTCCAGACATGGAGCTGAAGCTAGGCTTTGGCACTGTGCTGATTGTGGTGCGTGGGTGTTTCATGTTATTTTTTTGAGCTTGTTTATAATGGGGATATTTGGTTGTCCCCTGCCCCATAAGGCTTATATGAAACTCAGGATTAGGTAATGTATGAAAGCTCTCTGTAAACTGTCATTATTACTATATAGTAGTAGAATATTATTACCGTGTTGAAGGCAAAGTGGTTTTCCCTGAATATTTTTTCTATAAGAACATGGCAAATCTATTTTTTCCTGCATTAGCACATTATTACAGTGCCCCCAAATCTGAAATCTCAATTACAAGCCCCGTTTTACTTCTTAAGTTATTCAGGTAAACCAGATAATTGTTTTCACTTTCCCTGAGCTACTTGGACAATTGCCATCCTTGCCTTTTGTCTGATGAACTTGGTTAATATGGCAGATTGATATGCAGTAAGGTACTTGAGTCAATTTGATTCCAGTCTCCGATATAAGGAGAAGCTGATATGCAGTACGATGGTCAAATGGGTCAGACACTCGTTAACTCAGGATAGATTTGCTCCCCCAGTAGATCTATAACTGTAAGCTTACACACTGTCCACCCCTATGTGCAGAGCACTCCACTAGGGACATTTAGGGGAAGGCTCAGGGCATCCAGCCATGTATGATTGTTGAATGGAACCAAACATTTTTGCTCTTGAGTAACTGATAGTGTAGGTGGGAAGATGAAGCATTTGAGAACAATTGTGAAGCAGTGTGTAATAAAATAACTTGAACGTCCACGTTCCCAGGAGATGTGGAATAATATAGTTTCATCAGAGAAGTCTTCCTGGCAGAGTTGAGCTATCAGCCTAGATGGGACTGTGAGAGACATTTTGAGTACACAAGAGCTCTCCTTTTTAATATTTTGATATGATCATTCTCTCAAGGTAGGAATTTGAGTTTTCCCAACCTACCACTATTGTGAGGATTCAGCACATTTTTCCTGCCTCTAGACCCTAAACTACAAAGAAACATCTGAATTATATAGTCCATTTTAAAGTGTCACATTTATTAGAAGGCAGGGAGCTTTTACACTCTCTCTTACTCTCTTGCTCTTCCTCTGCAATCAGATTCCCTGTTCTCTTGTTTTTCTTTGAACATATCCCCTAACTAGACAGCGAAGAGCCATCCTGCATTTTGAGCTAATGATGTACAATGGGTCAGTCATTCCCCTCTATACAGTCACATGCATGTAGACTGTTAAGCGAGTCTTTGTAATATAAACCAGAAACCCCTCTTTATGTAAGCCTGAAAATACCTTTAAAAGTTTGGATGGTTCCAAATACCTGCAACAACCTATATAATGCAGGCTAAGGCTGTAGAAATTATTTGCAGCAGCAGAGTTATCTCAGAAGTATTTGGCTCATATTTGGTTAAATTGATTGGTTGTAGTTTTTCTGCCAGAGATATATAATTGGCAACTGACCATAACTGTGGGCAGTTTATTGTCAGAATGTTTCCATAATGGTTCTTCTACTGTTTATATAATAATAGTCTGAGGAGGAGGAGCTTAATAATTATTTATCCTCTTTTATCAGTGTACCAAGGGAGTTAATACAATCCTTTTGGGTCCAGTTATTTAGGTTAGTTATTTCCTTGTCCTCAATTAGCTAGATAATTGCATTCTGTTGAGGTAGCTATATGGGTCCAGCCTTCATTTACATCTCTAAGTGGTTTAACAGTATTGACTGTGCTTAGCATTAGTCCAGGACTTGTGGGGGAAATAATATAAAATTTTGTTGATATCATCAAAGAAGCCATATATATCTGATACTACTCCCCCACCCTCAACTAGGTCCCAGCTCCACCACCATTCTTTCTGTTTTTTAGACATGCTGAACTCACTCTTGTTTTCTGATTGAAACACTTTTTGCTGGAGGGCTGGTATTTTATTTCTTGTCTCCTTTGTTACCCTCCCCCAAATGTAGGCCTCATGAAAGCCCATGCATTTGTTTATAGCTGTACCCTCAGCCTCTAGACCAATCTCCACATTTTAAAATTTTTATTATCTTTTATCTCCACTAGATTTAGGGGTACAAGTGGTTTTTGGTTGCATGGATGAATTGTATAATGGTGCCATCTGGGTTTTTAGTGTACCTACCATGTGCATAGTGTACATTGCACCCAATAGGTAGTTTTTCTTCCCTTGCCCCCTGCCAGCCTCCCTGCTCTGAGTCTTCAGTGTCCGTTGCACCACTGTGTCCCTGCATACCCATAGCTTAGCTCCCACCTGTAAGTGAGAACATGCGGCATTTGGTTTTCCATTTCTGAGTTACTTCACTTAGGATAATGGCTTCCAGTTCCATCCAAGTTGCTGCAAAGGACATTATTTTATTCTTTTTTATGGCTGAGTAGTATTCCATGGGGCATATATACCACATTTTCTTTATCCACTCCTTGGTCAATGGGCACTTAGGTTGATTCCATATCTTTGCAATTGTAGGCTCCACATTTTTAATAGAATTTAATTTGGCTCTCAAAAAATATTTGTTGA